TTGAACGATTATGTTTAATTGAGTGTTTACAGTAATGCATGCTATTTCATAGGACTTTAAATCGTTCACAGACAGTGATGTTAATTGTTTAGTTTCTCTGAGGTTTCTTTGTGTTTATTGATAGTGTTTAATCATATTTGTGCTTAACTAAAAGGGGGGAAAATATGTTGTGTCTAGGTTCGAACGTATGTGACGCCGAAACAGTATATACGCTTCTGGTTGCTTGCTTTGCACGAGGTCACATGACGTCATTCACTTTGTAGTAGGTCGGCGGGCTGACCGCCATTGTTGTAAGAATTTCATGTATAATAAATTTAAGTTTTAATCAACTATGCATCTTTATGGCCATCGCAAACACAACACTATCGTGATTTCCTTTGTTTCAAAGACAATTATTTGTACTTGAACATCTTGAAAAATCATATTGTCTCATTATTATTTTTAGTACCATTGGTTAGTCAACTTTTATTTGGATTTACAAAGACACTCTAGTAAATCCTTGAAAACTTTCATTTATAATATATACACAGCATATAAGTTTTAAGTTTCATTTTGTAGTGTTTTTTTTTTTAAGGAAACATAACATTTTGTTTAAAGATGGGTTCCCTTTTTTTTTTAGTGTCAAATTAAGCAAACTATTTGATTAATTGGTGTTTCTAATGAATTATTATGTATTTTTAATCATATCATTATGTTCTTATTACATGTAATTAAGAGTTTTAACCAATCATAAATGTTCATGTACGTACAGTCTGGATAAACAAAGAAGACTTTTTGACCTTTTTTGATCAGTCACTCATTGGAATTCTGCTGGTAATTCTCTAATAATTTAGCTAATTATGAATTAATTATGGACACGCGAGACAAACTGGTATTTTACCAAGTCATTAGAACACCTCTACTTTCTATTCATATAAGTATTAGCATTCTCATTTTCATAAATAAAAAAAAGGGAACCCATCTTTAACTGAAGGGCAGAAATAATGATTTCTCATCATGCTACCCTACACATTTCCCTGAAATGAACCAATTTTTGCATTTTCACCAAACATTTGGAATCAAATTATTAAATCACTAGTTCATTGGCTTGTAAGACAAAGATATATCTATAAGATGATGACACTAATATACTCATACTTACACACTAGTTATTGCCCTATACCTTTCTTGACCTGCAGTATCCCATATCTGTGCTCTTATGGTTTTACCTTTAATATTTACATTTCTGTAAAACAATAATTAACAAACATAATTATTATGCAGACAAATACATTAAATTAAACTTAAGCTTTATAAAAGTGAATTGCAATTTCAAATAGCCAAACTATTAAACCAGGAAAACCGTTAAAAAAATTAGTCATTAAAGCAGAATCTTTTTATTTTATTCTCAT